GAGAGAGAGACAGAGAGAGAGAGAGAGAGAGAGAGAGAGAGAGAGAGAGAGAGAGAGAGAGAGAGATCGCCGTCCTTTTCCGATATTACTTGTTTCTTGGGGATTGGGATGATGGTGGACTGTTTGAAGCAGGATGAGACCTCACACAGTTGCAGAGATCTTGACTCACATCTTTCCGAGCCGCCTTGATCTTAGCCTCTGTGTGAAGACCAGCGCAAGCTGGACTTTCAGGCAGGAATGGGACACCTGAGAGAGAGAGAGAGAGAGAGAGAGAGAGATCGCCGTCCTTTTCCGATATTACTTGTTTCTTGGGGATTGGGATGATGGTGGACTGTTTGAAGCAGGATGAGACCTCACACAGTTGCAGAGATCTTGACTCACATCTTTCCGAGCCGCCTTGATCTTAGCCTCTGTGTGAAGACCAGCGCAAGCTGGACTTTCAGGCAGGAATGGGACACCTTATCGAACCCTGCAGCTTTCTTGATCTTCTGCTTCTTGAAGAGCCGTCTCACGTCCTGTTTGTGGATCTCCATGGCAGGGAATGAGGTCTGGGATGTGGAAAAGGTAGTTTCTGGTGGCTGTGGGCAGGTATAGGAAGTGAAGATGTCCTTTAAGAAATCTGGAGAAAAACATGTTTAGTTCATCAGCCAGTCCCTTCTTGTTCACTGCTTGGGGGGATTGTGTCCAGTAGTTTGTAACTGCTTTTAGGCCATTCCACACAGATGCAGAGCCGTGAGCATAAAACAGTATGTTCAGCTTGTCTTTGCAATGTTAATTTCCTTAATTTGGTTTTGGGCGTGTTTGTACAGTTCCCTATCTCCACTTATAAACGCGGCCTTCTTTCTCCCTTCTAAGTTTCCTGACTTTGGCAAAGAACCATCGCTTGTTGTGTTTGAAGGAGCGGAAGGACTTTGTTGGTACACACAGAAACTGATGTATGATTTTACAGTGTCTGTGTATTCATCCAGGCTGCCAGTTGAAGTTTCAAAGATGTCCCAGTCGGTGCAGTCCAAGCATTCTTGTAGTGACAGCTTTGTTTCATCGGTCCATCTCTTCACAGTCTTGACAACAGTTTTAAACATTTGTGTCTGTGTCTGTCTGTAGGGATTAAGTGTATTTAACAGTGGTCACAAAAGCCCAGTGCTGTGTGGGCAACAGATTGGTACGCATCTTTAAGTGTCATGGAGCAATGGTCCAGAATGTTGCCTTTTCTAGTGAAACAATCAATGTGCTGCTTATATCCGGGACGTTCAGGGTTTAGTTGTGCTCTATTAAAATCACCCAAAATGACATAGGGTGACTCTGGATAATTTCGCTCGAGTTTGTTAACGTGGTCAGCTAGCGTTTGTAGCGTTCGCTTGCGATGGGATGTAAACACGAGTACAAAGGAGGAGAACTCACATGGTGAGTAGAATGTCGTACAGTTTAGAAACAGCGACTCCAAGTCTGGTTGCAGTGTGCATTGAGCTTCGTAACATCAGTGCACCATTCTTCGTTGACATAGAAACATATTCCACCACCTTTTGATTTCACGATCAGCTCGGAGGAGGTGGAAGCCAGGTAGGTGCAGCATGGTGTCCGGGTGGCAGTCGTCTAACCAGGTTTCGGTGATGCAGAGCGCGGCAGAACGTGTAAGGTTTTGTTGGTCCTTGTGAGAAGAAGAAGTTCATCGATCATGTTTGATAGAGACCGTAGATTGGCAAGCTGGATCGTTGGGAGCGAGGATCGAAATCCATGTTTGCCTAGCGCGCTGGCTCGCTTCCCCCTCTCCCGGAAGCGTTTCCATGCTCCGTACAGTGCACCCGCCCCACGAGCTGTTAACTCTGACACACAAACCTTGTGGGTTTGCGTGTGTTGGTGAAAAAAAACAGACAGTAGACTCCCTAATGCTGAGCAAGTCTTCTCTCAAGTAAGTGGCATAGGGGTCGCCAAAAAAGAACAAATATTACAAAAACTAAGACAATGCTAGGGCGCACGTAACCCAGGCACTCGTGCCGGCACCATCTTTCATGTTGCCTTTTTTTTTTTTTTGAGTCGAAGAGGATTATAATCTGCTCATAAATGTGTTTACTCCTGAACAATTTTTATCCCCCACTTCTGAAATGAACCATCCTCATATTAATGACAAATCAATTACCCGATTTTAGATACTGCAAGTACTGTACAATGTAACACAAATCCCTTGCATATGGGCACTTAATAGCGTTGCAGGTTCATAGGAGCCCTCCGCCCCTGAAAAAAAAAATCTCTGATATTAATCCACCTCAAAAACAACTGCAAATTCCAATAGATAAAGCAATGTCATTAGGATTCAGGAGTATCCTTTATGAAGACCCTGCTTGCAGGCCCATCCATCCATCCATTTTCCACCGCTTATCCGGGGTCGGGTCGCGGGGGCAGCAGCTTTAGGAGGGAAGCCCAGACTTCCCTCTCCCCAGCCACTTCTTCAAGCTCTTCCTGGCGGATCCCGAGGAGTTCCCATGCCCGCTGGGAG